TGCCTGTTAATGAATCAGACTTTGTTCAAGGCATTCCATTGACTGATTTTGCATTAGTCAATAGTTTTTATTTAAAAGCCACAAAGACCAGAGCGGAATACTCTGCTTGGTACTGCTTAAGACCTAAAATGAGAGACTACAGTTTAGGAGCTTGAACTCTAAAGTCAGACTGCTTAGCTTTAAATCCTGGCTCTGCCACTTATGGCTGGGTAACTTTGGGCAAATTGTTTGACCTCTCTGTGCCTCAGTTTTCTCACTTATAAAATGAGAATAAAATCATCTCAAAGAGTTATTTGACAATTAAATAGCTTAATAAATGTAAAGGGTTTAGGACAATTCCTGGAATTTAGTAAGCAGACAGTTTATAAGACAAATTGTAGAAAGTTTCTCTCTAATGGCAGTAGTACATATGTGAGCTTTTCATAAAAACAAAACAAATTGACCACAGAGGAAAGGATATTGATTACGAATTAGAGCTGGGTACTATATGCTAGTTTTCATCCCATGAGAACTGATAAATGAATATCACAATACTTGCCCTGATGCCTCACCTCACAGCTTGATGAGGAGAACCAAGTAAGATAATGGATTCCCCTCCCTCCCTCCCTTTCTTCCTTTCTCTTTCTTATCTTTCTTTTTCTCTTTCTCGCTCTTTCTCTCTTTCTTTTCTCTCTCTGTCTTTCTTTCTTTCTTTCCCTCTCATCCCCCCTCTTACCTGCCTCCCTTTCTTCCTCTCTCTGTCTCTCTCTCTCTCTCTTTTAGGAATGAAATATCACTATGTTCCCCTTGAATTCCTGGGCTCCAGAAATCCTTCTTTCTCAGCCTCCTGAGTACCTGGGACTACAGACACATGCCTCAGTGACTGGTTGAAATAATGTTTACTTTCTACTTGAAGCCTTCCCAAAATGTTTAGTCAAAATTGCTTCTTCCTGACCACTCCCTATGCTGTTTATTTATATTTTCGTCATGATACATAACACTAATTTTTGCATTATAGTTAGTTTTTGTATGCTTCTTTCTCCAACTAGATAAGGTCTTGATGGTGGAGACATGATCTTACTTCTTAAAACTCATCTAGCACCTGAAAATAATAGACATATATGAGTGCTTATTTAAAGGGGCTCTTACAGGTATAGCTTGACAAATCAACAGAATGATTATTATTACTATTATTGTTATTATAATTACCACCACATGTGCCTTTATAGGGTATAATTCTGTGGGTTTTGGGCATGAATATGAGTAGTAGAGTTAGGCGGGGTTAGAACCGAGGAACTCAAACAGGGATTTTTTTTTTTAAAATAAATTCTGACTTCTTGTATTTCTGTTTTCTCTTTGCATGATCTCTCTACATTAAAATGTAACACATTAAGTGCAGAAGTATTTTCCTGGTTTTTAATTGGGTCAGATGTAAAATAATTGATTATTATGGGATTTGCAAAAAGCCTCATCTTTCCATGCTGTTCCCATATGATAAATGAGGTTTTTGGAAATAACTAATTATGTTTTTGTCTAAATTCCAGCTAGAACTAGGGATTTATTTATTGATCCATTTATCCTTTAAAAATTTTTGGGTCTGGCTTGGTGGCTCACTCCTGTAATCCCAGCACTTTAGGAGGCTGAGGCAGGTGGATCACTAGGGCAGGAGATCAAGACCATCCTGGATAACACAGTGAAACACCATCTCTACTAAAACTACAAAAAATTAGCCAGGCATAGTGGCACACCCCTGTAGTCCTAGCTACTTGGGAGGCTGAGGTAGGAGAATCAATTGCTTGAACACGGAGGGGGGTGCGGGGGGTGGGGGCTGGGGAGGTGGAGGGTGTAGTGAGCTGAAATTGCGCCACTGCACTCCAGCCTAGGTGACAGAGCCAGACTCCATCTGAATTAAAAAGGGGAGTATTTTTTTGTCATGTGCTAGACACTGTGCTAGGCAATGAAACCTGCAGTGTTCAAGTCTATTCTGTATGTACAAACAGGAATCTCCATTAAGAGGCATAAGAATCACTCAAACATTGTGGTTCAAATCAACTTGGAAACACAGTTGGGGATCTTTGATCTTAGTTTAACAGATTCGGTGATTTTCTTTTCTTGCAATAATTGGATTTATGAACTTGATGTAGTGCTCATATTAGGGTATGCCATCTGCACTGATTGCAAACTTTAAACATATGAATCTTACTCTAGGAGAAATTTTACTCTGGCCCACTAGCAACTGCTAAGAATCATCATTCTCATGACTGACTTGGGCAAGTAACATAACCTTGGAAGCTCATCTGTAAAACTGGGATAGTAATGCTCTGTTTCTAGATTTCCTTGGATAATTACTTTTATATACTCAAGAAAAACCTATGCTGCTTTTGTGATTCTGTTGCTGGGTCTATTTATTGTTTATAGATACTATTAGAAATATATGTGAAAAATACAAATTAAAGTAAGTTGATATTATCTCTTAAAATTCACTAGAGTGATGGTAGTTCTGAAGTGTAATGAATAGAGAGAAATATGCATTTCTTTATCCAGTTTTGAATGTGTGAGATGTGGATGTTTCACATTACCTTATGGTGTATGAAATGTATGCTTAAAGCATAAACTTTTAAATGAGACATGTACTTTCATTTTTCGTATCTTCTTTGTAGACCTCTGAAATCACCTACATATTTAAAATTAAAAAAATTACAATGGAGCAACTACAGCATGCAATTTCTTTCAAAACACAGAGCTTACTAATTTGCATCAAAATAAAAAATCAAGACTGCTTAATTAAAACCTTGACACCATCAACCTCTTTAATTATACGTTAAAGAGACTGGCATCCTGGGGTTACCAACTTGAAATCAGTGTGCATTTTGAGTGTCTCTACTGTGTGTACATATGCAATTCACAGAAGGGGAAAGGAGAGGGGCATTAAGAGAAAGCAAAAACATGATTTAAAATTTCTTTGGGCCTGCATAATTTCACACTTTTAAAACAGGTAGGAAAAGGGCAAATTTGCCTTTTCAGAAGAACAATGCAGACTAGAATTGTAACACAATGTTTCATCTCTTTTCTATGTCTAAATTTCAATGCATGGTTTCTTTTTAAAGAACAAAGATTTTTATGAAAATTATTATTTAGAAAACAGAGTTCTAAAGCTTGACTACTGATCATTGGATGTATATAGACCATACTGGGTAAATGAAGGAGGAGAGGGCTGTCTGTTTTTCTCCTTCTTGAGAGTGTATATAAATTGTGCAGTAAAATGACTGCCTTACTTTACATCTTAATTCTTGTCTTCACTATTATATGCCTATTCCCAATTTCTTTCACTAGTGTGGGACCTAGCAGCTCTTTGTTCTCATTGTGTCTGTCGTCTCCCTTTCTTTGTGTTTCAGGGATACTGCTACTCGCATCTGCCACTGAGCATGCGGGGAAAAATCCTTCAATAGATTCTTTACTTAGGACTTTCAGTAGTATTACTCCACTTCTCCACGTTTTGGTGATAACCAAAAAAATCGTAAAGATAGACCGAAACTTGGAAAAGGGATGGGTGATACAGGTGGTTAGATGGTGGGCTGGCAAGCTGGGACACAGGGATGATTAAGGGTAGTCATCACACATATTTATCTAATTTATGGAAGCTCTCACCAAGCATGTTAAATGCAGAACATCCTCCCTGCACACAGACTAGAGATGTGGATTAACAACTGAGAAGATACAAGTGTTTCTGAGCAGGAAGACACAAAACCGTATCTGAAACCAATAGATACAATGTGTTAGCAGTTCCAGAGAAACGAGGTATATTGTCACATTGTCACAAAGATTGGTATGTAAAGTTCCTAGCAAGGACTTTCACTAGATAGTATGTCATCTGAGGATGAAAACCAGTGGTGTCGATTTTTCTCATAATATAATCTCAGGGTTTTCTCTGGCTGTGCTAAACACTCAAAATGCTAAGTCAGTATTCACGGAACAAAACTTGAAGCCTTCTGCTTAAAGCCTTTTACAAAATAAAAAGAAAATTTACTTATGGTTTCCAAGTGGTAAGAAACAGCAGGTTAGCAGGTGAGAGTAAAGGGCGTTGGGTAGAATTCTGACGTTTTCTGTTTTCTGCTTTTCCCCGGGCAAGTCTGACTTTAATAGCTCATAAATTATTTAACAGAAGGAGCACTATACAATTTTATTCATATTTCTCCCCATAACCATTTTTGCCTGTTGCACTCACTGCCCGCATCACCCACGAGCTCTTAGAATGGTTCCTGGCACAGAGTAGGTGCTCAAAGATCTTTTGTTTGGAGAATGAGTGAATCTACGTAGAATTCTCTGAAAAAAAAAAAAAAAAAAAAAAAAAAGCAGTTCTTTTATTGTGGCAAACAATGGTGGTAAGAGCCCAAATCTGACTATTTTAGAATAAATACTTAAGTGAACAATTGTCTCCTTAGCAGCTGGCCACTCTCCTTCTTAGAGACAGGGAGTTCTTTCTCTTTCTCCTTGGCCTCTTTTCTCCCACCATTTTGTTTCTCTATTAGCAATTGGTACACGAGTGGCGTCGTCCCAAAGGCCTTCTGTTCCCCGTATTTACTTTTCGGTTTTTAGAATAACGATCTCCGGCCTTTGAGTTTTCTATAGGTTTCGTTAGCCAGTGGGTATTAAGTGCTGCCATGGAGCCTAGCAGAGCTCTGGGAAGGGAACCAACCAGTGAGCCTGGGGTGTACTCCTGGTTCTGAGGACCAGCCCTTGCAGCTGCTTCTTTGGGAACCTCCTACCCCGACACCTGGCTCAGAGACCCGCGCGGTTTGCAGTCCCTACTGCGGCCGGAGGAGGTGCCTGTGGCGGGAAAGTTCAGACCAGGTCCAATCAGACACCTGGGATTAGGTAGCGAGGGTGGGTGCGGCTCCCCGGCCCCTGCCCGCGCTGACGGCCCCGCCCACTGAGTGGGCTTCCCCACGGTCTCCTCCCCCCTGCCCCGCCCCTTCGGAGCCCTCGCCCCGCCCCACCCCGGGGCCGCGGCTAAAACCCGGAGTCTCCGCGACGCCCAGGGGACTGGAGGGACGCACTGAGCATGTGCAGAGCAGCTCGGCGGCGGCTGCTGCGGCCGGAGGCGAGGGCCCGGTGCTGATGCTAACCGCCGGCTCGGCCTCAGCCCGCGCGTGGTCGGCCCCTCAGGCCGGGGCGGCAGGGAAGGAGCCGTAGCCTTGCCGTGGCCCGAGGAGCCGGCGCGGCGGCGCTCACTCCCTGGCGGCCGCGGCGCCCTCCGGCCCCACGATGATGGCGGAGCAGGTGAAATGCGCCTCCGCGGGGGTCAGCTCCGGAGCGGGTTCCGGGCCGGTGGTGAACGCGGAGCTGGAGGTGAAGAAGCTGCAGGAGCTGGTGCGCAAGCTGGAGAAGCAGAACGAGCAGTTGCGGAGCCGCGCGGCCAGCGCGGCCGCCGCCCCGCACCTGCTGCTGTTGCCGCCGCCACCGCCCGCCGCGCCGCCCCCCGCCGGGGCCTGCAGCCCGTTGGGTCCTCGGAGCCCCCCGGCCGCCACGGCCACCGCCGCAGCCTCAGGTGGCCTGGGGCTCGGGCTGGCTCTGGGCGCGGGGGGCGGAGGCGGCAGCGGCAGCGGCGGCGGCTCCAGCCCCGCGTTCCCGGGCACCTTCTGCCTGCCTAGCCCCGCGCCCACCCTGCTCTGCAGCCTGGCGCAGCCACCCGAGGCGCCCTTCGTCTACTTCAAGCCGGCGGCGGGCTTCTTCGGCCCCGGCGGTGGCGGGCCGGAGCCGGGGGGCGCGGGGACGCCGCCGGGGGGAGCTGCAGCGACGCCCTCGCCGCCCCCAACGCTGCTGGAAGAGGTGGAACCGCTGGATCTGGAGAGCTTAGCCGCCTGGCGGGACGAGGACGACTACACCTGGTACTGCCTGGCTCCGCTCCCTCCCTGAGACTCAGACCTCGGAGGCTGCGGGCGCCCGGGCCTGGGGGCGGGGGACTAACTGGGGTCCTCTTGCGGCCGCCTGAGTAACTCGCCGCGGTTTCCAGAGGCTGGGGCTGACCCAGCAGGTGTCGAGCCAGGCGGTGACACTTCCCACGATGAGGCTTCTCATGAAGGCAGAAACCTGTTTTCTAATCGCTTCGACTGCAGATGAATCGGCCCCCTCATCTGCCTTGGGTTCTGCTTTTTGCCGATTGTTGGGTTCCCAGCTCCGCGTAGCATTAAGTGCAAAATCCATGTCATCTTGTCTTTTTGCTCAGTGCTGCTCTTTTCCCCAGGTTTTTTTTTTTTTTTTTTCGGGAGATGACGGGGTATGGTAGGAGTTGGCCTCTGTCTGCGACTGTTACTGTTTTTTCCTTTTAAACGAACGCTGGACGGTATTTGCATGCTCTTCCTCCTCTGGTGGCATCGGAAGCCGTGTAATGATGGATCTCTTTAAAGAGAGGTTCGTTCTTGCAGTTTGAATTTTTCAGTAGTGTGCCATTTTGCGCTGCATTTTCATTGAAATCCTATTTTCAGAAACTGGCTTGCTTTTTAAAATAGGGTGACCTCACTCGCTTTCCCATAAATAACAGTGCCAATACAAAGTACTTTTCACGGAGTGGAATGAACAGGTGGAAGGCACTTTTTTACCTAGACAGTTCCTTGGTTTCTATTTTTAAAATTAAACTGTAGAAGAAACGCGAGATTAGAGAAGCCTTATTTTCTTATTTCCTAGAAACTTTTTTAGTTTGGTTATCAGAAAACCAGACTGACAGCTTTGTTCGGTTGACATCTGGTTAGCACTGTCTACTTTCCATGAGTGAGTAACTTTAGGGGGAGGCATCCAATTCCTTTATGATGTATTTTTCTTGCTGCTTGCTCATGGGGGAATAGTCATTTCATGACTGATTTCTTTTGGTTAGTTCCCGTTTTCTGTGGACACCACACATATGGGATATGTTTCAGATAAGGTGGAGCTTGGGTTCCTGCAAGGAAAATGAGCAGCATTCACCTCCACATTGCAGAGGCTTGAAGAATAGTTGTAGTCTTCCTTTACTTTAGGTCCTTTTTATATAGGACCCTTTCTGTTTTTCCAAGCTCGGTTTTCATTATTTTCTTTGTGTCTCTGTTGCATGATTGCATGGAAGTGAATGGGAAATAGAGATCCTTACTGGTTTCCTGTTGGGAACTGCAGTGTTCTTTTTCCCTTACACCCTATCATATGAGAGCTCTAACTATAAAGTACATTAGTTAATTGGTTTGATTCAATACTCAAAATATATGGAGCTATAATAAGCCTTTCAGAGGTGTATTCATCATCCACCGTAATACTTTTTGGCAGCTGCGCAGGTAGCTCAAGGTGTAAAAAAAATCAACTCATCACTTTCTGGAACTTTAAGGCATTTTTTCAAAGCTGGACCCTTATTTCTGTAAAGCCCAGGGTGTATTGTAATCTCAGTTTCAGCCTGAATGTGGTACTAGGAAATGCTTTCATGATGGTCCTTAGATTTCACTAATAACTCTCAGCCCTTATACCATTTTCAAATTATTTTAGGTTGATTTAGTTCCTACTCAGCCTTTTCTGATGATATGTATGTAAACAGTGGAAGAAAACTTGTTTGTATTTTTGATGGGGAGATACATGGGATCAGTTTAATGCTTAAAATATTTGCACTTTAAAATTCTGATATTGATTATAACTATTAGATTAGTAATCTAATATATTAATAACTTTTCTTCTTTTGAATGGACTTTATCACATTTAGTTAGCATCCTGCTATTGCTACTATATTGATACCTAGGCTTTCTTTTTATAGTTTTTGTTTAAATAGCATTGAAATGATCAGCTTTAACAGAAATCACCTACTTCGTGTTATTAGTATATTTGCTCTTCAGATGGTTTGGAGCAAACTAAATTGAAGCAGGTGCTATTTCATTCAACAAGAATGTAGGTGAATAAATCAAAGCCTTGATGCTTTACAAATGTTTCTAGAGACAAATGGCAGAGAATCTTCCTGAAAACAAGCATGGGATTAGAATTCCAGATGGAAAACAAGGAGGGTTCATTAATCTTAGTGGGATGGACTTAAACATTTTAAAGTTACCTGATTTACAGGAATATTTTTATTATTACATTTTATGCATCAAGATATCTTTTGTATTGCAAATCTTTGGCATATTGATGAAGAAAATATCAGCAGGGCTTAATTTTTAAAGTTTAACCTGCTTGTTAATGCTTGCAGAGCACTGTGAAGTTCCTTTATCACTGCAGACTACAGTATCTCTGCCTTGTGGTCTCTAAATAGAGTGCTTTTCAGTTGGATTCCCTGATATGTTTGCAGGATGGCAACTTATTTTTATTTCCTGTGTTTATTAAGAAACAACTGGAGCAGATATACAGTATCTTATTTTAAAAATGTTTAAAACCATAAGTTTTATATGTTCATTATAAAAAATGAAAACATGGTCACAAAAATTCTTTCTTGTTCCCAGTTTATTACCATGACTCAGAATTCACCCTGTTAATACTCTGTAGATCCTTCAAGATAAAAAAAAAATTATACAAATCAATGTACAAACATATACACATCGGGTTTTTTAAACACTTGCCTTCCATTGAACATACCTTGGACATTTGTCTCTTCATATGATTTCACATCTCCCGGTAACAATGGCATCATTGTTAGAGTAACAATATTAAGGAACAAGTTACTGTTAACTGTATCACCTACAACTTTTAATGCATTTTTATTATGATTTCATCCTAATGGATTAAACAAAATTTATTTGCTTATTTACCTCAAATAGTACTTCCTGCTAAAATGTCATAATTCAGGAAAGTTTACAAATGTAGATTAATCGCTGAATATTTTAGCTGTTCTTTTATGTAAGTATATCTTTTCTAATAAAACTTTAGAATACACTATTTTTATTAACCACTTGAACAAAATTTGGATTAAGAGTTATGTGTATGAGGAAAATTGTGACTAATAGAACCAATATTTTCTTTATGCTAGTTCATTAATTAATGATTAACCAGGCTTTTGAGATATTTTTTCTGAATATTTAACCTATAAATAGTATCTTTAAAAAAAAAAAAAAAACAGCCTTATAGAGAATGGTGTCTTCTGCTTTCCATTTTGATGAAAAACTTTGACAAAATAATTTTCTTATTTCTTTGAATATTTATCTCAATTGAATTTTAAGTCTTTAATTTTACCGTAATACCACCTGATTATCTTAGCACAGTCCTGTTGGAATTAAGTGTCTCAGAAAGTTAAAGTTGATGATAATTCCAGAACCTGAATTCTTAAGTCCTCTTATGGCCCTGTAGTAAAACTCTCATCCTGCTATACTGATTCCTCAGTTATCTTACTAATTTGATAGGCTTAACTCTCCAGAAGGCCACAGGCTAGAATGGAAAAGGGAAAAGTCTGAGTATCAAGAGCAAATAAAAAGTTCAAAGGGATTAAAATCTCCATGCACACATGGGACACAGTGTGACTGGATGATTTTCCTATCTTTATGGAAGAAATGTTTGTAAGATTCATGTTTCTGTCCCAATGTTACCAGGCTGCAAAGCACCAGAGTACAAACAGAGTAAGTCAGATTGGTCTGAAGTGGCAATGGGAGCCATTAGCTAACTACATGCTAGACCTTCCTGTGACCTGTTTCAGCTCTCTTATTTCAGTGTTGAGGGACAGGAGTTCTGAGGCGAAATGGCTTATGTAAGCTCTTCTAGTTATTGATAGAGTTCAGGCTAAAATTCAGATTCTTTGTCCAGATTCAGAAGTGTTTACATCATTGATATTCCGCCTCCCCCCAACCCCCAGAGCTGGCTGTGTAACTCATTAATGAGTTTCTGAAGTCAATTTAGTGGATTGACCAGCATTTCAAAAAAGTGAAATGCAGTGGAATACAAAATCATATCTTATAATACTTGCTTTGATTGAACATGTTTCAGTTTTACATATGTGGAAATATTAAATGTATTTTTGCATTTTGATCAAAGATAGAAAAACTCTAGACTGAAAGCAAAATGGAGGAAACAGGTAGAAAAGCGCTGAAGATAGTATAGTACTCTGAAGATAAGTTAGGTCTTGCACACCTCGATCAGGAAGATAGTTCTATATGAGAAAATGCCATGATAAAAATAAGCCAGCCAATATAAAATACAGCCATATAAGGAGGCTTTATTTTAGTAGAATGACAATTAGCAGAACACTGAGACTACATAAACAGGATGTGGCAAGGATTTTAAACTTTGCTGACTGTGAAAGACAATAGAAAATTTGTTAATTATTCAAGGGAAAATGGTGATTTGTACAAATTAAGGAAAATTTAATGAATGAGATATTCATCTTCCACATGTAATACCAAGACCCCAGACAGCTGGCTAACATCATTGCCAATTTTTCATCAAAGCTGTTGAACACCTTGTACTATACATATGGCACAGCTAAATTAAACCACCCAAACTGTTTTTTGCATAATTGATTTTCAGTGAAAAGACCAGAGGGTTCTTCCCTTTCTGACAGTGCTAATTGAAAATGTATATTTTCCAGGAGCAAATGGTGTTGACTGAAATGTATGACATGTGTGTTTGAAATAGGTTAACTTTTAAATGTTGAAGTGAGGTGCTGAAGTAGTTTAGCTCTAACTGGGTGAGGCAGGGTTGGGGGTGGAGGGAAAGTTTGTTACAGGACAGTTTAATAAGTGAAGCTTGAACTTCATGTATCCTTTTAAGAACTTGTTGGCACTAAGTATTGTATCAGCTATCTAGTTTGATCCTAGCAGGTGCCAGTGACTCAAATGCTGTTAGAACTAAAGATTTGTTGATTGTGCTTATTAGTGTTGAAGTTTCAGCTTTCCTTAAACTAAAACTTGCAGTGATTGAAGTCTCTTAAAATTATTTCTTTGAAAATTGCTGCATATTACTT